CCATCCATCCATCCATCCATCCATCCATCCATCCATCCATCCATCCACCAGTTGGCTTGCCATTGGTACATTGGACTCCTACCAAAAATTCTTTTCGAAAAGTGTATTTATTACCTGCTAATCTCACCATGGTTTAGTCTATAAAAGCACTTTTATGAGAAATTTATGCTCCCTGAGTTAGCATCAGGTTTAACTATTTAAATCTCAAACCCACACATGATTAAATGGTGAGCAGGAACCTTGCTGAGGAGTTTGGTCCTTTCATAAAAGTGCACTTTACTTTCATTATCGGCTCCAACCAGTTTCCGGCAGCCAGCCTGTTTAGCTTCGTTTAGCTAAACCAACCCATGGGAAAGGGAATTTAACTCATTTGGAATAATACAAACAGAGTTATCGGTTCAAACAAAGGTGAGAACGACACTCTAGCGTGAACAGGTGTAAATTAATGAGAGAAATTTGGACTAAATGTTGGTCAGTGATTGATTTGAGGATAATAAATGTTTCAGGGATGCCAAACTTTCCCCATTTCCTTACTAAATTTCCAAATGAGATGTTACAGTTTGACAGTATTTTCAATCCGTGGTTTGAGTTTTTTTGCACATTTTTCCAGTTTGTTAATATGAGTTTTTTTTTTTCTGAGTTATCCAGAGTTTCTCTGGATCCCATTAGGGATAAATGTTTAGGAAAATGGATGGATGGATGGATATAGAGTTAAAGTTTAAATTTACACTTTGATTTTCAGTATACATGAACGTTAAAGTCTTATCTGTACTCAGGGATAAATATTACAAGTAACTTCAGCTCATTTACATATAAGCCACATGGAAAGTTTTTTCTTCCCACATTATCCAAAAATAGACATTTATGAGGTCAATTTCTTACCTTTTTTCCAGGCAATTATGACTCCAACCGGCTGTAATTTACTACTGTCTTCACACTTTAATGCTGCGTACTTTACTTTAACCTCGGTGACTCTCTCAAATATTGGTCCTGAGCATCGCTTTACCGGAGCAAAAGTCACTCTCAAGGATTTATTTTCATACCTCAAAGCCCTCTTAGAGACGTGGAGGGCTTTGGTATTTAAGGCTTTTTTATTTTTTTATTTTTTACATCTTTATTATGATTTACCATACTGAATGTTTTAATTATTATCTATTATTATCTCCATGGTGATGAAGCCTATGATGCAATGTTGGAGTTTGGGTACATACAGTAAGAGCTTTGTACCAGATTTATCTGGTTTTGTAGTATTCTTGTGCACACAAACAAGGTGAGGAAATGATAGATAGATAGATAGATAGATAGATAGATAGATAGATAGATAGATACTTTACATTACACACAACATACACTACAGTTCACACAGTATCTTACAAAATCACTAGAATACTAAATCAACACAACTACCAGATCAACATATAAGATATATGAAACATTTGGCATTATAGGGTTATTGTAGAAAGAGCTTCCCATGTGACTACACCAGATTTCAGCTCAGAAAAGCTAACGGCATTTTCCCAAATCCCATCCTGGTTAACCCTGTAATGCCAAATGTATCATATTTGATTCATACGGTTTCTGAAATGTTTTGCGTCTGACACCTTTTGCATAATTTAATGGTAAAACTTTGCTCAAAATCCTATTGTACACAATCAGATACACCTGATAACAGGGGGCAGAAGACTACACAAAACATAATCTTGACTTATCACATAGTAATAAATTATTAATATTAAAAATGTATTTGTTTTTTCTTTATACACATTTTGTTAAAAGGCCAAATAAAGACTTAAAACCCCAAAAAAGAAATTTTGTGTTTGGTTTTATTCTTGGATCAGGCTTTAAAGGGTTAATTTTTGTCAAAATACTACTTTATAAGAGTCAGAAAACGTGGTTGAAATCTACAGAGAGCACAATGAATGCATTTTTATGTTAATTTTTAAAGAACTGGAGCATCTCCAGCTATCAGGCCGTTATTTTCCTTTTTGCATTCCTGCTGGTTGGAAGCAGAGCTCATTGGAAACCCTGTTACTCATGTAAAACGTTATTAGCATTTAGAAAGGACGGATCCACCCCCGACACACTATTTAACTCCATCAGAGGTCCTAAGACCTGAACAAAAAAAAGCTGGAGCCCGAGACTCAGCGGAACCCTCTGATTAAAAGTCTATTTCCGTTTGAAGACAGCCACCACACGCTGGGAATCGTCACAAAAAATGAAAACTGAGGCTCAGAGCTTATCTCAGGACATAAAGACCGAGATAATGACCTGTAACATTGCACATTTCAATTGTTCATTTGTACATTCACACCTGTATACGTTCTTCCTGGTTAAATAAAGACTTCCTGGTTAAATAAAGACTTCCTGGTTAAATAAAGGTTAAATAAATAAATAAAAACACACTTTTGATATTTGTAATATATCCATATTTCTATTCTCAGATCTATATTTTTTTAAAGGTTGTACTTTTTAGTTTGATATTTTGTGTTCTATGTTTTTGTAACGTAGTTACTTCAGCATCAAGTTTGTTTTGGTTTTGATAATTAATTCTCCTGTCATTTCAGATCCGGCCCTTTCCTGTCATATAATTACTCATTCCCCCTCACCTGCTTCTCTCCGCCCATCTCCTCACCTGCTGCTCATTAGCTCATTTGGCCTCCAGTATTAATACCACTCCCTTTCCACTTTGTCCCCTGCCAGATTGTCTTGTGTTGTTCCGTTCCAAGCATTCCAGCGTTCTCTTGTTCTGCCTGCCCGTCTTGACCTCTCGTTTGCCTCCCTGGATTTTGGATTC